ATATATATATATATACATATACAAGAACGAAGAGAGAAGTCAACTTAACATACGAGAAAATAATATTTCGCGCGGAACGTTCGTGTCGATGTCTACTGGTGCTTTGAATTATAGTTTCTCATTTAGCTAAAAGAAAACATTCCCGTAACAATGGAAAAAAAAATGAAATTGTCGATTTCGTTGGTCATAAGATAATTGCTGTTAAATAATAATAATACTACTTTTTATAATCTCATCTGACGATCTTAGTAGAGATTAATTTAAGAATTCTACAACGGAAAGCTAATTGTACGTTAATTCTAGATAAGAGATATCGAAATCGATTATTAGATTACAATCGTTATAATGAAATAATGAAAGTGTACATTAAAGAAATCGAAATATTCCCGTGTTATGCCAATAAAAAATTGTAATGTCTACGTCGTTTAAGAATCAAACCGCGTGAGAATTGGCGGTATATAAGAATATACTCGATCCAATTGAAAACGCACGTCACGAGGCGCGCCCGCGCGACGAAAAACGAAGAGAGAAACAGAAACGGAACCGAAACGCAGGAGAAAACACTGGCGAAGAGGAAACGGAAAAAAAAAAGGAAAAGAGTTAAGAGATCATACACTGTATCACAAATACATCGTGGTACCAAAAAAAAAAGGAACAAAAAGTGAAAGAGAAAAAAAAATCAGAAGGGAGAAAACTCTCGTTGGGTTACTCTTGGCACGCACGAAAAAGAAGAAAAAAATCTTGGCTCTTCAAGTAAGTCGTCGGCTCTCACGGGGACTTACCATTCTTTTTTTGGACAACGACTTTGGCGGCGACTTTACGGGGGTTGCGGTATGCCGAACGATCGGAGTTTTGAGTGGTAGTAGAAGTAGTAGTAGAAGTAGTAGAGGTAGTAGTAGCATAGTGTCGTGCCGAGATAGGAGGAGTCCAAGGCCAGTGTGATTGATACAAATATAATAGAGAAGGAGTACGATATAAAAGACAGTCAGTGCAACTTTGGGGGCGGGGGG